CAGGAGCAAAGATACTTGTCAACGCTGCCCCACGACTTTTATTAATAACAGTTTAAATACTGAATCGCTACATTATATTTTCCAGCAATGAGAGGATAAAAAAAAAAAATCACTGTTTTTGAAGTAAACTCACTCATTGTCAAGAGAGACATACACACAACTTTCATCTCTCTCTCAAATTGGCAATATTTGAGAAAAAGGCATAGCGATTTCTAATTATTGGGGGGGACTAACCCCACTCAATGTCTATGGTGGTTATCACCCTGATCAGACATGAAAATATGTTGAGGCACTATCGTGCACATTAGCAAACTTTAGCGATTTTTTTGCAAACATTTCTTTGAATAACATGACCATAAATATGAACACAGGATTGAATGCAACAAATGATTACTTTATTGAAATCTTTATTAATGGCAAAAATGCTTCCATTTGTGTGTCTTGTTCGCTCTGGCAGCCATGTTGCTCTATGCTGATAATTATCATACCCCTTTGTTTGAAGTGTGGTCCCGAAAAATCTTAGTTTGAAGGGCTATCTGGCCCTGGCCCTTCCCCATACCCCTCCAACCAAATGAGAATAGAGACACCCCTACCCTTCATGTGAACACGCGAAATGGAGGGGTTAGGGGTAAGGGGTAGAAATGGGATTGGGGCTACAGATTCGGGAATTTCACTCAATGGAACAGGCTCAGGAAGACTACTCACTGGAGCGGACTTGGGAAGTGCTTCCTCTACAATATACGATGATCCACAACATCCATAGAATATAATCAATATATTTTTGCAAAGAACATGTGGTTGTGCCCGCTGGAACTTGTAGATAAAGGTGATCATCCAAGCTAAATGGTTTTTAGTGTCTCATCATTCCAGGGCACTTGATGTGAGAGCTCGACGAATTCCTCTACGTAGTCCTCAATTGGTCGGCCATCTTGAAAGCATGTGAGAAGCAGGTCAGCTGGGTCTTGAGGGTTGAGGAGAATGCCCATGTTGTAAGGCAAATTTTGTGGCCCGGTCTTCTGTCACAAAACAGAGATCACAGGTAAGTGAGTTCAGCAGGTTTATCGAAGCCGGGAGCAGGACAGGAAATCAGTTAAGTTCAGAATTCAACATAACATCATAACTTAAGGAACTGGGAAAGTAAAGAGTCTTTTTTTTTTTATCCACAGGTAGCTGAAACTAAAGGAGGCTTCGTAGGCATCAGGCATAAATTCAGGTGAACAGAAAGTATTTTAGGATAGATCATTGGACTTAAGTCATAAAAACTTGGTACTATTTTCCCTTTCCAGGTTCAAGGGCTCTCAGAGCGAACAGATGGAGGATTCACTGTAAGGTAGATCGGGACATGATGATTCAAGTTAGTAGAGCTGGTAAGGAGTAAGGGAAGTGTATCCCACGATGTGTAGAGAATGCCAACAAACAGACCAGACAATAAGAGAGCGAAAGGTGATTACTTTTATATGGTAGGTAATGAGGTGAATGGTGGCAGGTGTGTTGATTGGAGATCAGGTGCAGGTGTGAAGCAGGCGGGATGCTGGGAAATGGAGTCCTTAATGTGGTTTAGTGACTGAGCTGGTGACTGGGCTGTGACAATTATAATAATAGTAATAATAATAATAATTATTATTATTTATTTATTTTATTGTTTTTGAAGTGCAACAGATGGAAATAAATAAACAACAATTAAACATTAATTTTATTTATTTAATTGTGTTTAATTTATATTAAATTGCAAAAAAGTAAATAAATACACAAATAAAAAGGAAATAAAATTTTTTTTACTGCTTATAATATAGTTTAAAATGAAAAATGTTGTACTAATTTTTTTATCAAGTTTAATTTTTATGTGTTAAAGTACAAAATAGGGAAATAAATAAATGCAGAAATCAAATCAAATAATTTTACTGCTGATAATATCATTTAAAATGGAAAGTGTTGTTTATTTATTAATTGTTTTATTTAGGTGCAACAGATGGAAATAAATAAATAGCAAAAATATATATATAAAATAAAATAATTATTCTGCTGGTAATATGAGAAATAGAAGCATTTTTGCTGCTGGTCTCGGTCCTTTGGGCCCCACTGAACAGATATACCAATTACATATGAAAAAAACAATATCAAAGTTTAGTGTCATTCGCTGATTTTTTTCACTATATATGCTACCATTAGTTTTTCACGCTGCATGCTCACAGTCCATGGAAAGCAGAGCCAGCCACCAATCATTCAAGCTGTTATTTATAGCACTTCTCAACGGAGTCGTATAGTTGATGTGTAAATTGAGACTCTTCCTTTGGACATGGCCCCAAAGCACGCTCAACTCTGACCCTGAGCCAAGGCCACTGTAAAGTTGAACTTGGCTTAGTCACACACACATCACCCACACACTCATTCGCAGACAAGTGCAGAGGATGCAACTTGCAACCCTTAGCTGCCACTCTGGAACAGTTTTCTATGTCCAAATCTGAACATTAATCGAAATTAAAGCAGGAAAATGGGGGCAGTCAGTAGTCAGCTGATAGGTGAAGCCGTCTAGTGGTTATGTGATTATTGGAGAAGAGTGAACAGCCAAGGTGAGTTTCCCACAGCCTTATCCAATGACCACAGCCCTGCCAGCAGAATCCTGAGGTGCAAAAGGGCTGACTTACAGAATCTGAGCCAGTCGCAACTAATCTTCAAGGCATTTAGACTATCGGCCGCTTCAACACATCAGTGCTTCACTATCAGAAGCCCTTTATCAGGAGTTTTCTGAGATAGATAGATAGACAGACAGACGAACAGATAGATAGACACATTGATAGATAGACAGACAGACAGATAGATAGATAGACAGACAGACAGACAGACAGATAGATGCAGCACATGGTAAGCTCAACACAATGGCTGTTGACAGATGAAATTCCATAGGTGGCATCTCCAGTCATCCATGTTGTCATCTCATTAATCATGTCATAAGTCATGGGGGGGATTCCCGCTGCTCCTGCTTCATATCTGCTGCTCCAAAGAATCATGCCTTGACACATTCTCCATGTTCAGTGTCAAAAATATATACAGACTACTGAAGTTATGTGTCTTGTGATGTTAAACATTTCTACATAAAGATTTTTGTTGAAATTCTCAGTTCATGTATTTTTGTTTTGCATTATTTTGAGCAGATAGTGAAGACGTAACTGATTACATTTAATCTGGATTATGTAATCAGATTCCAAAAATTGAGTACACCTAATTGGATTATATTACATTTTAAAGTGATCATAATCAGATTACTGTTACTTTTATAGATTACATGATTACATATTATTCATAAAATGGCAGTGAACTAGTCATCATTGATTCACCATATATTTTTTTTTTATCTTTTCTAAAGTTTTCTTCACAACAATCCTACCGTGTCATCCAATTTAGCTTTGACTATATTCACAAATGTTGTGTATATAAATTTGCCAACCATGCTATGCTATGCAATTAGACCATGTATGAAACAATACTTACTACACAATACTTACGTCACTAAACACGGGTGATGTATAGCTGTGAAACACTATTTCTCAAATCCAGTGACCTTCAGTAATGGATCTGGAAGTCAGGACAAAAATGTTTCAAACCTGGAAGACTTTGGGCATGTAATGTCATTGTTAATTTCATGTTTAATAATGTTTGTTCATGCAGGCCTTTCCATTTGTGTGTGTGTGTGTGTGTGTGTGTGTGTCAGCCAAACCCCTAAAATATTTACTTGGAACTTTAAAACAAGTTAGGTAAAAAGTAATCTACTAAATGGTAGTCATAATACATTACCTAAAATGAATAACCTATATTATCTACAATTTTCATAATGTAATCTGTAATCAGTAATAGACTAAAATGTTTTAAGTAATCTACCAAGCAATGCATACACGGTATAAATGGGGTATACGGTAACTCTCATTTTATTTGGATCTATTAAACTGTTCAAAATGACATTAAAAATGGTATTCATATAGACGCTTAGATTACACACACTTATATACATCAGTTAACATTTTTTGAATAAAAATACATTTTGATTATAGAAATTGTAAAAAATGTTGGTGTACAGTTACTATGCCAGTAAGTGTGTAATATGTTATTAATATTTCTTTATAAAATATTCAGAAAAACAGTTTTGTCTGTTTGTATTTGAAAAACATTTGTCCACCAAAGCTATGGGGTGAAACATGTGGCAAGACAAAAATAAATAAATAAAAATAGAGAGGAGTCCATAAAATATTTTTATTTAATTATAAATCTTTATATTTGTATTTAAATAATAATAATAAAAATGTTTTCATTATGTACATTTTTTTAAATTGTCAAGAACGGCATAAATGTTTTTGAATTAAACACAAAGAGTAAGCGTGTCTGTTTTAAACTAAAAGATTTTTCCCCTATCATCCCGGACATTTTATTTGTCATTGACCCAAACAAAGACGCACAAAATACAATAAAAACACACAATATAACATACGTGGTATAGTACAATACAGTTTAGGAATACAATTGTACAATACACAAACGACGCAATGCACAAGTATGAGGCGTTATTATTTAGATAGCTAGTGCAAGTGTAATATGCAACTTTGCACGTTAAACAGAAATTTCAGCTTGGAATATTAGATCAAAAGATCAAATATTACATCATATTAGATCAAAATGTAGTTTGCGAATAACACATTTAAAAATAAAGGTTACAAAAGGGTGTTTTTGCAGTGATGCCATCGAAGAACCATATTTGGTTCCCCAAAGAACCTTTCAGTGAACAGTTCCTAAAAGAACCATTTTGAAGAACATTTTAAAAAATCTAAAGAAATCTTTTTCTACTATTAAAAAAAAAACCTTTTCTGCATTTGAAAGGTTCCATGTTCAGGTTCTTTATAGAACCATTGATGCCAATAAAGAGCCTTTATTTTTAAGAGTGAAGAGTTCCCGCACCTGCTTAAACAGCTACAGGACGCTGAAACATTATTGTGCGCAGGGTTGATGCATGTATGGTAGTCGTTCGCTCTGCACGCGCATCTCCAATTGCCAAGCGCGTGCGCTCAGTGAGAATGAGTGATTCACCGTACACTGCGCCCTGTACGGCTCCTGACCGGGGGCCCCGGTAATCGCAAAGCTCGCTTAATCACTTTCTCTCGTACCTTTCTGAAGAAGCAGTATGGAGTTACGTCACAGCAGCGCGCAAGAGTGCAGGCCAAGCAAATAAGCCGCTGTGGAGCTATTTGTAGGCATTGCTGCCAAACCCGGGTAAGGCTGCTCACTCTTCTGCGATCAATGCTTTAAACCTGCTACAGCACTGGAAGCAGCATGCATTCTTTTTTTCGATTTATTCTGGAATGATTGTGTTTGGAGAACTTGACCTGGATCCGTTGATGACCGGCGGCCGGTGCGCGCAACAACGCAATTAGATCCAATTCAAAACTTCACGTTCAGACAATCCAACTCTTTAAAATAACAAATCACCGTATTTGTTTCAAGAACCATGTAGAACTTTTATTCAAATTTATTCAAGAACCATAGCAAGAACCAACAAAACTGTGTATGGTGTGAACATTTCTCGCACAGGAACCAAATAGTCGCAGCTAGCACAATTGGCTAATATTTATAATATACAAATCAATAAGTGACAACGTTGACGTGTTTGTTTTGCCAGTGAGGATCCTAAAGGTAGTCGCTATAGTCGCCGTGGTTACCGCTAAGCGAACGCGATTTTTGTTCGCTAGGGTTTATTTATCGCTCGATGAAAATACTCGACTTTTTTTTTTTTTGTGGTTACTGAAATGTTTGAAATCCTAACTGAAACATAGCCCTATAAAATATAAAGGCTACTTCATATTTTTGTTTTGGCTTCCTTTGGGGGCTTCAAGTCCTAATTAAGTAGGCTATATGCAAATGATTATTTAAAGGTTTCTTGTTTCAGAAGGATAAACATTTTAACATCTGAATGGCTCTTTGCTTGCATTTAACTTATCATTAACTTATCATTATTTAATTAGTGGTTTTTATTTGACTTTAAATAGTCTTCATTTTTATGTGGTCATATTCGTAAAAACAGATTTACTTTGCATTCGTACCTGCCAAAAAAGTTTTTAAAGCAGGGTTTGAAGTTCACCAGACTAAAAAAGCCACAAAGATACATTTCACAGATTTCCAATAAGACAAGGTCTTCTTTGTTCAGCAAGCACCTAATGCAGTTCGGAAGTTTTCGAGTTTAATCCCTTCCTTTCCCACATTTCCTACCTCAGTAATGTTCTGTTGTGTGTTATTTTAGATTTAAGCCTAAGAACTCTTTGTTCAGTCCAATACTTTGACTTATAGCTATTCTGCACCTGTTTTCATGTGTTATGAGAGCCAAAATAATTCTTAGCTGGATGTCCAGATTTTGGACACTAATGAAAACGTTATGCAATCTATATGAAAAAAAACTAAATCAATGACTGTATATTTAGTCCTTTAACTAGCAAGAAATTATGTACCTATGGTATAGATGGACAACAACAATACAGTTTGCGGATAGTCACCCTCTTTCTTTCTCAGGACTGTTTCTCCATGGTGAATATTTCGTGGTACGGAGGTGCCAGTGTCCATGCACGAATTCTTAGCTGGATGTCCAGATTTTGGACACTAATGAAAACGTTATGCAATCTATATGAAAAAAACTAAATCAATGACTGTATATTTAGTCCTTTAACTAGCAAGAAATTATCTACCTATGGTATAGATGGACAACAACAATACAGTTTGCGGATAGTCACCCTCTTTCTTTCTCAGGACTGTTTCTCCATGGTGAATATTTCGTGGTACGGAGGTGCCAGTGTCCATGCACCCAACTGGCCGATAAACGATGCCAACATTTCCATGCAGCCCTTCACAGTCAGCGACCTTAGGGACAACCCTTCTGGCTTCGGATCAGTTTTAGAACGCTACTTCCTGGGATCCTCAGGTAAGCAAAGAGGAGCTCTGCGTCTCTAACTGTGACCCCCTTAGCCAAATTTGGCCACCCTGCCCTTTCACACTTTGTTGACCAGTCCAAACATGCATTCACTTGTGACTATGTACATAATTCTAAACTGCCTCGGGCCTGAGATCACGGGGCTCTACTGTACATAGAGAGCGTAACACAATACGGATGGTTTCTTCTGCTTGCTGAAAGATTGCAAAACAAAGGACATCGGACTTGAGTCTGAACCCATTGGTATGTGTCAGCAGATGCCTGATGTTTATATCGAGAGTTAATTAAGCAAACAATCTCAGGCAGATTTAAATAACCATTGTGTTTATGTCTGGCTGTTAGTTTTATTCGAGGCACGGTGGGAGATGTTTATGGACAGATGCGTAGTGGATTCAAACATTATCCAAACCACTCCAAATGTTCAACAGTTTAGACTTGCAGTAGTTATTGTGAAATAAGTCTACTACATGAAAATATGTGCAATCAAATTTAAATTTTCCCCCCAGATTTATAATATTAATTAACTAAATATTCATATTCACTCTATATATTTAATAAGTTTTTAGATCCTTATTTGGCAATTCATTGAGCATGTTTTTAACCCTTATATGTGTTCTGGGTCAGTTTAACCCAAACACATTTTGAGTTGTCAGAAATACTGGTAAACCTAGTTAAAAATATATATTTTGTTATGGCAGACCTTTTTATTCAAAGAAATGTATGCTGTGTTGAAGGTGTACATTTTTAAGAAGTTTAAAATGTACATTTTACTGGGAATCAAACCCATGATCTTAGCTAACGCCATGCTTTATTGTTTGATGTTTCAGGAAAACAGGGGGAAAAAAACATTTAAAAATATATTTAAAATACATTAAAAAAATACATTTTTGTGAAAAGGCTTAAAAAGTTGATAAAACGTTTTATTTGTTTACTTTTTTGAATGTTAAAGGTTTACTGTTTTAACCTGTTTTTTTTCATAGTGTGATTTTAGGTGAATCTTGTTGAATCCAATTACAGTTTAACTTGTATTATGCTACAGCATTGTAAAATAATAATAAACTATGCAGTCCCAGAGCAAAGTTTATTTTATTGTATAATGTTCAATTCATGATGAAATTACTATTGTGAAGAATTTTAAAAAAAAATAGTTTGAATCAGTTTAACAAATCCTTTTGTCTGAATGAATTCACTGAAGCTGGCAAAGAGTGAATCTGTCTTGAAATGCAGCATATTTTGAGTATTTACGTGAAGTATTTAATGAAACTTAAAGCAGTGGTTATTGATATGCAAATTTACTTCCAGAAATATTATTTGACCATACAGCAGAAACCAGAACCGCCTTCGACCTCTAGTATAGCAATGTGTCAATCCCTTTAGCTGGAAAAAGCCATAAAATTCAAGCTTCCCAGAAGCATGCATCATTGACATGTGAAGGAAGTTTGAAACCACTGAGACTCTTCCTAGAATTGACCATCTGGCTAAATGTGGTATTCTAAGAATCTGGAAGGTCAGGGAGGTGACGAAGAGCTTACTATTGTGAAGAATTTAAAAAAAAAATAGTTTGAATCAGTTTAACAAATCCTTTTGTCTGAATGAATTCACTGAATCTGGCAAAGAGTGAATCTGTCTTGAAATGCAGCATATTTTGAGTATTTACGTGAAGTATTTAATGAAACTTAAAGCAGTGGTTATTGATATGCAAATTTACTTCCAGAAATATTATTTGACCATACAGCAGAAACCAGAACCGCCTTCGACCTCTAGTATAGCAATGTGTCAATCCCTTTAGCTGGAAAAAGCCATAAAATTCAAGCTTCCCAGAAGCATGCATCATTGACATGTGAAGGAAGTTTGAAACCACTGAGACTCTTCCTAGAATTGACCATCTGGCTAAATGTGGTATTCTAAGAATCTGGAAGGTCAGGGAGGTGACGAAGAGCTCCTCAGAAGACCTTCAGATTACCTGTGTAAAGATGGGAGGTCCTGTCAAAATCCATCACTACAGCACTTCATCAATCACTTTCAAACGAGTTCACAAACTTGCGGTCTGTGAAGTGCTTTGGACCATGAGTTGACCAAAAATCTAAACCTAACAATTGTAATTGACAAAGAAAATCAACAGTGAGTTGATTAATTAACCAGCTTTGAACAATGAATTATATGATTCACTCATTTAGATTCATTAGCTAAAAGTAACAATGTCTACTTCATTTCAGTGAAACAAGCAGCAGTCTAACCATATTATGGATCTGTAGCTCAAGACAGGATCGGATGTCAAATGGGACCACCAAATGAGATTTGGAGTAAATGTTGGTCTGTAATTTTTTAATGTTTTAATGTTTAAAAATAGCTCAAATGTGCTGCATTTAGAGCATGCATTCTGACACATTGCATTGAGGTGCTTATGTGGGCAGTGCGAGTTTGAATCTCATGTTATTTAAAATTGCCTCTTTTTGTCCTATCACATCATAATTTACCAGTAAAAAGGCAGAGGGGCCAACACATTTAATAGGATTTTATTTTTTATTTTTTGCATACATGTCATACCAGATGTACTAGAGCATTTGGCGTATATTTAAATTGCACAAGCATTGTACGAAGTGTTGTATTATGTGTGAGCAGGGTTTGAAATTAACACCCGCCAACCCGCCAAATGCGGGTAAAAATCAGCTGTGGCGGGTAACGCTGTCAAATCACTAGCCAATTTGGCGGGTTACTTTTCATAAGTTATGTTCACTCATTAATTTCTTTGGGAAGTTCATGCAAGCCAAATCTGCGCAGGTTTAGCGCAAATACTGAACTCGTGAGACATCATGACATTATCGAGTATATTGCAAAAAACAAACAAAACACACCTACAGAGGCACGCATACGCGACGTGATGAAGTCTGGTTAGACCAACACAGGCTTTAGTGCGCGTGCGGATTTATAGTGCGCTCTTTCACTGCATGACTCAGTCTATTAATATGCATTAAGAATGATCACATAATTCAAGATGAGGGGGCAGAAAATGAATATATTTATATAAATTCATATAGTTAATCAATATCACAGGAAGAGTGCCGTTTTTTCTTTAAAAAATCCATTAACACGTGTAAATACATCCAAATGCCACTTCATATGGAACTTCTGCAAAGATTAATTTTATTGATAATGATTTCATTTGTTTAGTAACAGCCTAAATGTCTTATTATTATAATTGACTGATTAAATGTAAGAATTTTACTTAAAATATGATGCACACTTTTAGAAAAAAATGGCTTTATAAAGGTAAAAATGTCCATAAAAGGTAAAAATCTATTTAAACTTATTGGAAAAGCTTAATTTCTATCACTGCTGTGAACTGACCACACAAAATATGAAATATATCAAAAACTTTAGGAGTCAGCTGTCCACAGTATCCTTAAGATATCAGCACAATCCACTGTGGGTTTTTTTCCGTATATAATAAATAATTTGTGCCTCAGAGCGTGCAGATGAAATGTAACAAACTCATTCACGTTATCTTGCTTTTGGAGGCTGATGCCTGCTGTTTGGTAGTGCAGTCGTGTAAGAAAGTTCTGCGAGGTAATTATACCCAACCACTTTGACAACAGAATTTGGCTCAGGTATTTCGTAATGACCAAAACATTTCAGGTGCAGTCGGTCCGCTGCTTAGTCCAGTTATGCTGCCCCATTATGCAAAGTCAAGTGACTTTTTTTGATGTGCATCAAGGAATTTATTTGGTAAATGTGCTTCCATCATAGTTTTGTGCATGTTTTCTTATCAAATAAAAAATATCCACCTCAGTGCATAAGTTTTAGTTATAGTATTTTGTAGTGGTTCCAGTCTGGAGCTTGCAGATAGCTGCTGCTAAAAACAAAACATGAAACAAACAAAACAACAGTATTTCAGTGGATTTAGGTACATAGTAGCAGTTTCACTCAGGAGCTAAAAAAAAAAAAAAAACGGGTGTTTTAGTGGATTCCAATAGTACTTTGAAGCCACTGGTACTCACATTCAAAGTGCAAACATAGCACTATTTGGGCCCCAAAAGCATGTCGGACGAACTTTGACATTTTATATGTTCAGTAAATGGTTAATATATGTTCACCAAAATGAGTAATACAACATTGTAACACATAGTAAGGTTTCTTAACACATTTGACAATAAACTAACACTACCACTCAGACTCAAAGTGCAAATGTAGCACTTTTTGGGCCCCAAAAGCATATCGGACTGACTTTGACTTTTTATATGTTCAATAAATGGTTAATATATGTTTAATAAAATGAGTAACACAACATTGTAACGCATTACTTTTAGTAATTAAGTTTCTTATCACATTTGACAATAAGCTGACACTAGTACTCATACTCAGTGTGCAAACGTAGCACTTTTTGGGCCCCAAAAGCATGTCAGACTGGGTTTGACATTTTATATATTGAGTAACTGGTTAATATACGTTCACCAAAATGAGTAACACAACATTGTAACACATAGTTAAGTTTCTTAACACATTTGACAATAAGCTGCCGCTAGTACTCGCACTCAAAGTGCAAACGAAGCATGTTTTTGGGCCCAAGAAGTGTTTTGGACCAGCTTTGACATTTTATATGTTCAGTAAATGGTTAATATGTTCACCAAAGGGACGTTGCGATGACCCCTCGTGCTTCGGACCAGCAGGCGTGCCATGCGAAGCTTGTGTGGGTGGGCAGCTGGTCTCTAAACATGGTTACCGCTCAGAGCCGAGACACTCTAACACTCTCACAGCACCTTGTCACCCGTGCTCAATCCAGCAATTAATAACCCTATTTACTCAACACAGTCACGCTGCTTTTTTTGTACGGCCGCATTGTTTGCGCCCGCATTGGTGTCTTCCAAGTTTGCATGTGAGCTTTCGGCAGCTGAAAGGTGAAAGCGGTAATCTGCGTCCCAGACAGCTGAACAGAATTAGATTAAAGCGAAAGGGCATGCCATCAGCTAAGGACATAATATTCGTCATGTGAC